AACAGCTATAGGAAGAAAACTAATGCAGGATCGTCAATGAGTGCACCTTGTCCGGTAGTTTTCAATCGCAGGTGTGGACAATCCCGGAGCCCTCCTCCACGAAGACGGCATGAAGCGGTCAGTTTCTTCATGGCTTTATGCCACCTCGCGGTTTCACCCAAACTGGCAAAGTGCAGCGCATATTTCATGCCGAGGAAGCCGGTCAACGGAAAACATGACCTAACCATTTGATTAAGTGTCGAGTGAGACACCAGAGGCATTCTTGCCAAAAACCAACTGTTGCAACTCAGGATTGCTGATCCAGTGTTCCGACCAGATGTGAGCAATACGCCAATACTACCGGTGACAAATCAAAGTGCCAATCTGGACATTGGGTATCGAAAACCTCTAGAACCTCTAGATGCTAGCCGACGTATCCTGGCTATAAATGAACACAAGGACACTCGCAAAAATCTCAGGGAAAAACTCCGCGCTAGCCTGAAGAGACCACGAAGTCTTGTGGTCTCACGTGCGTCGGGGATGGAAATAGCCACTGCCCTTGGTAACCAGTGGAAGTTATTCCTTCGGATGCGCGAAACGGGCAGAAGGGGACCTGACGTTAGCGACACCATACGTGATGAGGGTGGATAGCGATCCACAGTTCGTCAAGACGCTTGGAACGTTGTGCCGAACACTGAAAAGCAGTTTAATCAATCAGTTGCCACAATATTTTTCGGATATTGAATACCTTTCTCCCTGGGCAGTATCCTTGGATCCGCCCTCATGCGCGGAAGTCGAAAGTGAGAATAGTCTGACGAAATTGGACGAGGCGGTAGGAGCAGATGGGCTTCATTATCTCTCTTCAAACCCGGGAACCAGCGTTCATGGAATATTTGCACAATTCACTAGTGCAGTTGTGGGAGCTGAAGACTATCCCAACACACTGCAGCCGCTCCGTCATGGTCTTAATTTTTAAGGGAAGCTCACGTTCAGAGAACGGAATCTTTGAGGCATCAGTCTGATCTCAATTGCCACTAGGTTACTTGTCGTTCTCCATAAACTTGCTGGCACCCGTGAAGACCAAAATCGTGAGGAGTAAGTCGGATTTAGCCGAAAACTGAGGCTGCATTTACCACTTCGCCCTGTGCCAAATGTTGAAACACAGTGATATTTAGTGCTGATCTACCATAGTCGTGTTTTTGGACAATAAATGTGTCTTGGATTCGGTTGATCGACGTGCCCTTTGAGACTTTCTACTGACGTAAACATTATCAGGGCACCGTACACGCACAATTTTAGTGAGGGTTTATGGCAAGCTCTAGCCGCTTTTCAATATCTCCAGCGGTGAAAGACAAGGCTGCTCGATGTCACTTTTCTACTTTGCCTTCATCAATGACGAAGTCAAGGAAATAGCGTCCACTGGATACGTGTGGACCTGCTTTCTGATAAGCAACCGATTGACTGGCTGTCAGTCGTTTCGGGTAATGCATTTATAGCGCGTAGATCGTGTGCTATCTATCTGGTACCAGACTAAACGACCAATTGTGAGTGTACGGGAGAACACAAGGAAATATGCTAAGGTTTGTTGAAAGGGAGAAGAGATAACTAAGGCTAAAAATAGGCACCAGAGGACAGCTAGCTAGGGAAGATGGGCGTCGTTCGCAGTCCAGTCGCGCGCGCCAAAGGCATGTAAATGAGCCCTGACAAGCTAAAAATTGCTCGCGCAGAATTCGAGCAAATGCCTGAACTAGGCATCGTTCGCCCGTCTAAAAGCCCGTGGGCGTCGCCGCTTCACATGGTGCCCGAAATGTCAGGAGACTGGCATCCATGTGGTGATTACCGCGCGCTCAATATCGTTACTGTTCCCGACCGCTATCCTATTCCTCACATTCAGAACATCACCGCTAGCCTGCGCGACACCTGTGTGTTCTCGAAAATCGGTCTGATTCGGGCTTACCACCAGATTCCAGTCGCTGAGGAGGATATACCGAAGACTCAGGTAATCACGCCGTTTGGGCTATTCGGATTTCTGCGTATGCCCTTCTGTCTCCGCAACGCAGTCCAGCTTTTCCAATGAGTCATCGATTCGGTCACTTCGGGGTCACCAATTATGGCGCGTCGCCCGTGCGCTATATATCCGGTACCAAACTAGAGAACCAACCGTTAGCGTACGGGATAACACACGAAAATAAGCTAGGGAAAAGGTTTATTGAACGGGAGAAGAGCTATCTAAGGCTAAAAATAAGGCACCAGAGGAGAGCTAGCTAGGGTGGGTAATTGGGCGTCGAGTGCGTGGACGGCGAGTCGTTCGCAGACAGGTCGTGAACACCAAAGGCGGATATTGTATTGGTGTTTGAAACAAGCGGGAACAACGTTCCAACAAGCAAACCGCTTACTTCCCTAATACATAAGAAAACTATAATTTTGGAATATGTTAAAAGAATTTAAAGTCATACGGGGAAATCTCCAATCACTACACAGCCCCCCTCCTAGATGGGAAACCGTGGGTGACCCTTCGATCTACGTGAGGACTGTCCGTCACAGGCCAGCCTTCTGCAAAACCAGGTAGTGAAAGCTGATGCAGCTGCTGGAGAAGAAGTAGGCGATCGGACCTTAGCAGGATCCCACCCGTGTCTTACCTAAAGGTGCCAAAAGCACAAAATTGGAGGAAAGTTCGTAAGCGTCAAATGTTCGCTTCAGGCTAGTCATCTCCTCCGGTTCATACTTGGGAGATAAGCAGAAACAATAGCAGTGAAAGTGGTGGCAAGGGCAAAAGTAAGAGTTACATTCACCGGATGAGGTAAGCGTCAAGCAAAACGCAACTCTTTTTATGCGTTTACAAAACGTTTTCATTTTGGAGTTTTCAAAACGTTTTGCCTTCTTTTTAGGTTTCCAAAAACTTTTGTCCGTTTTTTTGGCTCCCGCGAAATGCAAAGAACTCCACCAAAATTAGCAGTGACTCACCACTGCACGGACCCTTAGTGGGGATCAGCTAGAAGTCGTCCATAAATTCAAGTATCTAGAGAGCTATATAAGCGCTTGTGTAATCGAGCATAATGAATCGTATAGAGCAGAGTCTACAATTCAGCCGTCCGTTAAACCCTTATCTACCGCTGTGAAACCTGGCCTATCAGCTGTCTTCGCAGCTAAGCTCATGTCTGGGGACAGCACCGTGCGAGCGATGGATAGGTTCCGTGCCGCGTATTTGGCGCAGGAATAGCCACTGAACAGCTCAGCAGCATCATAATACGCACCAAACTCCGATTGTAGCGAGAACGACGTGGGACGACGGGGCAGAACGTGTATTGCCACAACAACGTGAAACGGACAACTCACAAACCCATACAGATATGGGCCGTGTTTGCTTCCCACGACGCAACGTGGATAAGGATTTGTTTAACGGGCCATTCCAGGTGCCTACGAGGTTGAGCTTCGAAACAATCCCTCCATGTTTCCCTCCCGTATCTCCACTTCACCCTTATCAGCCAAAAGTCGTTCGAAAGCTCGCGATTTGCTCTCCCGTGGCTGCATCACTCGGCGCGCGTTCAGTCCTGTGGGCTTCGCTAGCAGCGTATTTGTCTGATTCATTCCGTTCTCGACAAATATATCCTCCGCTGCTCTGGGCCGAGGCCCGTTACCAGATGTCCCTCGTGATCCACTGTCGGCTCGAATCGCAAGGCTCATAGAGCTTTGTCTCGTCTCATCCATTGCGCCCGATGGTACTTCCCTAATACCCCGTTTTTATTATCTTTCCGGTTCACGAGTAGTCGTTGACTTCCACCGCCCTACACGATGATGGCTGGGCCACTTGTTGTGCACACCAGTACATCGACTCCTGGGTCGTACGTTGTTTGCGTGCCGGGATATAAATAGAAGAGGGAGGCCAAGCGATGACTAGGAGGAAGGAAATCCCTCAATTCGAAATTGGGGTCGGTTGGTGTTTTCCGACTGCCGGGTGGATTCCCAAGGACGATGAACCCGTTTGGTTGGATACACTTGGATATGACGAAGAGCCGGTCCCAATGGCGTTCGCGTTGTGACGTTCTTTGTCCAACCCTTCAGAGTTCGCCTCCAATTAGGACATCATATAATATTTAACATCATATTAGTTGCTTTCTGAAATTTGTTTGGTAGTCTGTAATTTTCAGTATCTTTCCTTTTTGTATTGTAGCACACTAACTGAGGTGTGTTTCTCACCTTGAGCTAACGTATATTGATGATGAAACGCAGTTAAGCGTTCGATGTTTAATCTGTGAACTAGCCAGGTGTCTAATCCATAGAGTAACACCGGCCATAGCTTTTACAGACAGAGCGAGATCACTTCGATCCGATAGATGGTTGGGCCTCTAAAATGCGACACGGGTCGTGCGGATACGCGAAGTAACTTCCTCATGGATGTTTCCACCAGAGGTGACACAACTACCAAGCTACGTGGACCGTTCCACCACTTTCAGTGACTGCTCGATAACAGGTAAAACCGGTGGTGTATCGGTCCAATCTTACAATAGTAATAGGTGTAAAACACAGGTCGAAGCGTGCAGCCCTACGCATCAGTCAGCTCAGCAGTCAATGCAGAGCAATTACGTCAGACCCAAGGAGAAGTATGTCGTCCGTATACTCACGGTTTGTCAGTCGGTCAACATGCAAATTTTCCTCTAAACAGCGATTGGATAAAACACTGACGAAAATACTGAATGCGCCGTCCGTGGATTCAGGAAATTCAACGGGCTGAGTTCAGCTGTGACTAAAGTGTGTTACCCAGTGCTTAGATGCGGTCGCCTAATGTTCCCGGTCAGTAAAGTCGATGAGTGTCGTCACATAGCTGAATCGATGATTATTTGAGTAATAGTCAATCTGGCCGACACTGACGATGATTGAGACAGGCTGATAACGGTTAATCAGTAAAGTAAACATAAGTAAGGCACCGAAGTTAGGTAAATTCCAAACTGAAGTCAGAATATGTACGCTATGCAGACTCAACAGAATGGCACTATCGCTAGCTTCATAGACTTAAACATCGGCCTGAATGTAGTACGAAATCATGGCATGCCGCTAAAAAGCACGAAAAGCATTCCATTGAAAAATGTCTAGAGAAAAAAGCAAATACACAGCATAATAAAGGTCATGATGAATACCGATACCTGGGCTAGTGAGTAACGAAGTCAGCGGGTTAAGCAAGTGGTGGTGTTCATCGACACATTGGAATCGTGAAAGAAAACGGGAAAGTACGAAGGAGATGAACTAAGAGGAGGAGAGGGAGGGGAAAGCGCATCGAAGAATTGTCAAGTGAAAACTGGTTAAAGATCCATCGAAAGCATCATCTCCTTCACTTGCTGGAACACCTGATGAGAAGAAGAAAAGAAATACGCTCACAAAACAGGATCAAATAAGCATGCAAACTTGATTGTGTCAGCGACAAATACCTGGGCAACATATGGTGCCATTAAGAATTCGGGGTGACATAATGCAGTTGCACGGGTTATAATGACGGTATCGATGCGAAGCCTGAACTGTTAGACCGAGCGAGTGCAAACCGACGCCAAGCCGAACGAGAGTTGGATTAAAGGACCGATGCACGGTGTCGAAGATTCAAATCAACTATGCAACCGAATGAGAGAGAGAGAGAGAGAGAGAGTAAAGTGAGTAAAGGAAAGGTGCCGAAGAGACAATGCCAACTTTTCTCCCGGCTGGCAAATTCTCGAGGGAAACTTCACATAAATCCACAAACTTCGTGGCACGAAGTCTTGATCGTATGGGTGGGTAGGGGCGAAGCTTTCAACAAACGAGCAGGGTAGACGCCGATAATTAGTACCTAGGCGTGACCATGTGTCGCAATCCGGCTGCACTGGCATCGCAACATTCGGTACACATCCTCGCAGTTGTAAACGGTCACCGATAAGCCTTGCTTTAGAGTTTGTGTAAATCCTGCAAGGAATAGCGGTCCATTTTTATGCTACTGGGTTATATCACAGGATGGCGTCCAATGTTCAAAAGAGAGCAGAATTTCACCGCAAAATGAGTCGGGTCAATACAGTTTGATACGGTTACTGATCATGCCAAATACATCCACCACTATCCAGCCGGAAATGGTACCAATGCGACGTGAAAACTCATGTACGTGAGTGCGCGGGTACTTGTGTATTAATCAAGCAGTGTCCGCTATTTATTCGTTTCGAAATGAAAAATCATTCATGCATCCATGTGACTGACATCTTAGACAGTTTTGCTTACACATATGTGCTGAGTGGAATGTACCATTTTACGCTTGCTACTAAACTGTCCCTATTACTGTACTGCTGTTCCAATTTCATCTAGGTGTAATGTGGACCAGCGACACTTCGACAGTTCACAAGTACATATAAAAAGAGATCTACGATCTATTCACTGGACCAACTTTGGGGGGAGAAGCCACATGGTTTCACAGTACACTACAAACTCAATACCATGCGAAAATAATCGAATGAGGCTGTAAATGTGTTCATATCTGGATTTCTTACTGCCCCCCCCCGATTGTGCATATGATCAGATTCCACCGACCCAGTTCGAAGTAGCAATACTGGTACAAGTATCAATTGTGGTTGATGAGAAGAAGGCACCAGAGCGGCTGTCATCCGAGGACGAAACGCTCCTGACTTGGGAAAAGACCTGTAACATAGTCCGAGTGCGTGCAAAGCTGGTTCAGGAACCAACTGCATTTTCCTCATCTACTCAACTGATCTCACAAGATGTAAACAAAGTCTCCCAGACTAGCCGGGACCAAACGGCAAATAAACCTGTGAAGTGTAGAGGATTTCGATGTTCCCGCTGCGGTGAACGTTCGCATAGACTGCCAGCAGCTTCATTTAGTGTGCAGAATTTGTGGTAAAAAAACGTCAGGTTCAGAAGGGATGTCTTTCCAAGCGGAAGCCATTTGTACTTGAATAACATAAGGTTACAGATATCATCACCGTGAAAGTACACTAGAATTGGATAAATACCACAACTGTTGTCAATCGCAACACTTCAGAACAGCCATTTCCAGTGTCTGTTAAGGTAAAGGGGCTACCCGTGGGTCTTGAAATTGATACCGCTTGCGTAGTTAACCTGATACGAACGGATGCCTTATCACAACAGCCAAAGTCAGATCCAAAAATATACAACCTAGAACTTACATGGAGCAGATGGCGAATGTGGTGGGTATATTTATTACACGCATCTCTTACCGTAATTCAAGGAATCAGATGTGTGTGAACGTTTCTGGAGGGCCGGACCTAAACATACTTGGTCGCGACGGAATTCAAAATCTTCGCCGCATCACGTCAAACTTTAACTTGGTGAAAAGGCATCCACAGTTATGTGATATCCTGCAGAAATATGGGGTACTGTTCGGTGAGTCAAAAAAGGCCTACTGAAAAATTACGCCGCTCAACTAGTGATAAAAGCACAGGAAATACCGAAGTTTTGGAAAGCTCGAGTTGTTCCCTGTGCTCTTCGTGATAAAATCGAAAGTGAGCTGCGCCGACTCTAGCTAAAGGGTACAGTTGAACCTGTCCAATATTTGGACTGGGCTGCCCCTACAGTGCCAGTGTTGAACAGCGACGGTGCCATAAGAATCTGTGAGGACTGCAATCAAGCATTACCAACGAAGCATTACAGTTAGACACCTACCCACTGCCAAAGATTGAACATATGTACGCTTCTCTCCCCTGTGGCGAGCTTTTTTTTACCAAACGAGATCTGAGTCATGCCTAACTACAAATTGAACTCGATGCGGAATGACACGCATAGATCAACTTGGATTACTCCGCTACACACGCATGCCATTTGGGATAAGCCTGGCCCAGGTTATCTTTCAGTGTATTATTGACTCACTGAAGAAAGACATACCAAACACATGTGCGTAATTGGATGATGATGTGCATAATGATGATGTACATAACTGGATGATGAACTACGAACACCGAACACATACATATCTTGGATGTCATCCTTAAACGATTATTAGATGCTGGGTTGGTTTTAAAGGAAACATGTGAATTTCTTGTGCCGAGTGTACAGTGATTTCGTGTCGGTTATCACGAGAAGGATAAGATAATAGCGCTAGCTGAAGCGTAAGCACCAAAAGAATTCATAAACTGCGATCATTTTTGAGTGCCGTTATCCAATTTTAAAGGTTTATACCATCGGCAGCAACCCATCTAAATCTGCATCATTAACCCTTAAGTAAAAACCAAACTGAGAGCTGGAGCAGGATTCATGAAAATGCTTTCAAGGCAGACAAAAAGCTTTGATATCCGCCGGTGTTCTTGTGCATTACGACCCGATGGTCTGTTATCCTCTCTTGTTATGCGGTCTTGAAGCTGTGTTACCGTACGAATTACCGGAGGGCTACCAGCGACCCATTGCCTATGCCACAAGCAAATTGATAGCATGAGAATTAAATTACTCGCTTGATCGAGAGGCAGCAGCAGTGCTCTTCGGCACTACCCGAGTTCACCAACATCTACTTGGCCGACCCTTCCTGATCTAAACGCATCATAAACCTCCAGCTTCCTTTTTTGGCCACGAGAATAGGATACAACAAGTGGCTTCACCCAGAATGGCTCGTTGGTCCCTCATTCTGTCCGTAGGCACGTACAAAATTCAGTATGTTCCGCGCTGGCAAAATACCACGACTTCCTTCACCTGAGATACCTTTGGTTTAGCATCTCAGTTATTTCTCGATCACGTCAATGGACATACGTCAGGAAACTGACATCCTGCTTTACCACTGGTTAAAATCTACGCATAATTCGGTTGGCCAAATAACGCATCCAAAGTACTCATGCCTTTCCGTAAAAGGATGTCTAAGCTTAGCGTCCAAAACGGATGCTTATTATGGGACGTACAAGATATAGTCCACAAAAGATTCCGGTCATGTGCCCTCGATGAATTACATGATGCGCACCCAGGAGTCGCTAAAATGAAGGCAATAGTTCGCTTTTATGTGTGGTATGCCGAACTGGACGATGGCATTGTAGCGAAGATTTGAAAATTCAGACTCTGTCCGGAAAACCAAAACGCCGCCACCCATGCACCAATGCATCTTTGGGTGTGGTCATAAACACCCTGGGGACGAGTCGATGTATAATTTTTTGGTTCTTTCGAGAGTCGAATGACCTTATTGATCGTTGATGCCAATTCTAAGTGAACTGAAGTTCACACGCTGGCCTCAGCAACTTCAGATAGCACCATAACTAAACTGCACACAACGCTCATGACATCTGGTCTCCCCGAAACATTAGCATCTGACAATGGGCCAGCGTTTTCCAACGACGAGTTCTCTACATTAGCTCGAACGGCGTCAGACACATAGCTACTGCACCTTACCATCTGTCTTCCAACCGCTTGGCAGAGAAGGCGATAGATATAGTGAAAAATCTACTAACGAAACAACCAAATGCTCTATGCGTGTGCGTTTAGATAGTTCCCTGTTCGGGTACCGGAAGATGCCAAACAAGACAACCGGTAGAATTCCGGCAGAGTTAATGTTCAGCCATCGCTTACGTACACGATTAGATTTACTGCATGGGACCATTGAGTCACAAGTTGCTGAAAAGAAACAACGGGCGAAGTAACGTTTTGATAATTACAGAAGAGTAGTAGGGGGAGTTGAATGTTATAGGTAGAAATTCATCACATCTAGACTCACTCAGACAGCCATCACAAGCCCGGAAAAGCACTGTACGCGCGTTTCATCCTTCCGGGAATCGTCCGCAGTGCGCATTCCATCGGACCCTGGTAGGGCTCGAACTCGCAACTCGACTGTTGCCAGTCCGTGGTTGAGACCACTGAGCTAAGGGGGATGGCAACGACCATCGTAAATAAGTTACTAGATGTGATATAGCACCGCTCACTATCCACTGACTTACACGTTATTGTCGTGCAGAGGACAAGGTAGCCCCTTCAACAAGCGAAGAGCTTACCAAACTTAAGCCGCCAATTAACTTACGGCATTATAATCGGTTTGGTCTGCGTAATGATTACAGAAGAGTAGTAGGGGGAGTTGAATGTTACAGGTAGAAATTCATCACATCTAGACTCTTTCAGACAGCCATCACACGCCCGGAAAAGCACTGTACGCGCGTTTCATCCTTCCGGGAATCGTCCGCAGTGCGCATTCCATCGGACCCTGATAGGGCTCGAACTCGCAACTCGACTGTTGCCAGTCCGTGGTTGAGACCACTGAGCTAAGGGGGACGGCAACGACCATCATAAATAAGTTACTAGATATGATATAGCAGCAGGGACAGAGTAATGAGAGAGTAAGATCCTATTTACGTCCGTTTACCTACAGACTCCGGATGGGAGCGAGCCGTCGTAAAAACAACTAACGGGCAGATCGTGGAAGTAGAAACTGATGATGGCCGGATCTAGCGGTGCCATTTGGACCATGTGCAACTAAGACTATCGAACCGAGAAACAAATGCTGAACCAGACCTGCGATTACAATGACCGGCCGATATGCAGATGACTGACGCGCAACAAGTAAATGAAAATTTTCTGCGCCGCTCAAATCGTCAACACCGACCAGTCGATCGCTTCCAGGCCGGTTAGCTCAAACCAAAGCGGGTAGGAATGATAAGGTCATTGGTCATGCCAAATAGATGCACCAATATCCAGCCGGAAGTGGTTCCAATGCCGAGTGGAAACTCGTGCACGTGAGTGCGTGTGTATTTGTGTCTCAACTAATCAGTGTCCGCTATTGATTCGCTTCGAAATGGAAATCGTTCACGCATCCATGTAACTGACATCTCGGACAGTATTTGCTTCCTAATATGTGCTGAGTAGTGTAGCGCTTGCCACTAAGGCTTTCCTAATGCTACACCGCTGTTTCGATTTCACTTGGATGAACTTGTGAACTTGCCGAATATTCATGTGTAGCGTGGCGACTTCAGCCAATTGAAGATATGCTGAAGCGGTTTCGCACCATTAACTTCGGAAGCTGACGTGGCTGTCCCTAGAAGGATCCATTAGAGCAGGGATACTCAAAGTCCGGACCGCGTCAAATTTTCAACTGGCCCGCGGCCTCATCACGAAATAATAAATTCAGGCTTGAACTATTTGGTTTTTGTTATTACCTTAATGTCAGACTGAATATGGCCCGACATATTTTTACCTCACAAAATGTGGCCCTGCTTGCAAAAGTTTTGGACACCCTTGTCTTAGAGGAACTAGCATCCCAGGTTAGTTGCAACATGTGCCGCATTTCGTATTACGTCAAGGTTGGTGAGAATTAGAATTTTAGGGAAATAGAAAACTGCTTTAAATGGGGATTGCATGGAAATGGGCCTAAAGTAACCCAAACTGCTTCATTTTCGAATGTTGTGGGTACTCGGCCCAAAATACATCAACCGTAGACCATGAGTAGACGAGACCCTAACGTACTACTGTACTAGATACTCCATTCGACACTTCACTACACTGGCGGTCCAACACCACTCCATCAGCGCCATCATGAAACAACGCTTGCCACTTGTATGACAGAGCACATGAAAGCAGTGTGTTGGGAAATGAAATCGAATCATTATCCAACAGATGTAGCCCAGGACAGTGGCTTTGAAACTGGGTAGAAGGACATTGTGACCGGACAGTTCTGAAGCGGATCACAACAAGAGTCAGTAAACTCGAAAACTGTGAGGCGGAATGCAGAAAACCACCACATCAGTGAGCGAAGAGGGGTTAAATGCATCAAGCAATAGGTTGTAAAGCGGGACTGCACACCGCGGAATAATTGATTAAGGTTTCTGAGGTAGGCTAGGACAACAGGATCAACAGTGATGCAATAACTTTCGATGCGCAGACAAGCTCTTTGTTTCTCAAAGAATGTTCCCTCTCGACACGGAGCCTCTTCGTTGAACAGTTCGGTTTATTTTTCATTTCATTGACTAACCTACCGAGCCGAAGTCCATGATGGCGTCACGAATCACAAAACAGCATCAGCACGATACTACGATGAGATAAAACCAGGAAAGTGAACGAAAATTGTTTGGCCCACACAAAGTGGCTCGCAGCTCAGAAGCGGAATATAATCAGGGGGTTAGTGCTCACCTCCTCCATAGACTTGCTTGCGTCGATTCGCGTGACCAAGTTCCGCGATTCGTAATACTCGATCACAGGTATACCTTGTTCTTTGAATTGCCTCAAACTGTTGATATAACGACAGATACGTAGTAGGGAGATGGAGTGTAGCACTTGGTAGGGAACATGATTTTTGCACGAGCAGATAACAAAAAGCCTAGAAATCGCTTGACATGCACAGTGGCTACCTAATGTGCTGCGTGATTCATGAGGAAGCCTCCGCAAAGCGTGACGAAAACATGTGCTGAGATGTAAACACGAGGCGATGTAAAATAACGCGAATAACAACAACACGAACACCAACAGCCACGATAGTATATATATATATATATATATATATATATATATATATATATATATATATTTATATATTGAAGAACCCTTATAGTACCCTTTGTGTAGGTGGCAGGTAGAACGCAGGCCAACACGTTGACTTACCTGGCATAGACATACGACAATACACGGCCACAAACAGCTGGTTAGCTCCCAATGATGAGTTGAATTAGGGGAGGCAGCTTCCCTGAGGGTTTTGTCTCGCGTCACAAACAGCGTTACAGATAACTCGGCATAAAACACCCATTGAGCAGTGTGTAAAATCTCGAGCCAAACATAAAGTGGATCAGGTGGACTCCTGCCTGGAAAGTGAGATGTACCCACAAGACCCAGTTTGATTGTCAGTGACTGAATTTTTGCCCACCTTGAAGTATGTGTCGTATTAGATTCAGCAAACAAAACAACAACCCTTTCGGCAAGCGGTTGTTGTGTAGTACGTGACCGAGTCAGCGCAACCGTCTCGGTCATGTTTGTTTAACTAACTAATTAATCTGGTCATCGCTGCCTAGTACTCGCTTGCACAGTTCATCGTTGCAGACACGTTGATTTCAAATGACATCAGCACCGCTACGCAGACAAAGGTGATCAAAGAGGTGAAGGCGTCTCAGATTCTTAGATAGAATGGGTCAGATCACATTATCACAGAGAACGTCCTTCCGCGTGGTCTCGCGAACAAGGCCGTAAAGAGTGACGGTGAACTCTCCCATCCCAAATGAAGCTGCACTTATGAAAGCAGTTCTGCTCTCCGAAATATGTGGGTGTCAAAAAATGGCGATATTTGCGTACTTTCCGGATCCAATGGACTATGATGCATAAGACTATAGTTATTACTACCGCACTGTTGAATAGCAAACAAACTTAGTCTTGAATTTGAGGCTGGAACTCGGGTGACACTTATTTAAATGAAAATAGCCTACATGATGTGCCACTGTTACCGCTGCATGTGGGTACACGGCTGGACTCAAGGTCTGGGACGAAAACCCAGATCGCTTCTCTACCAAGTCTTGAGTAGTAGTACCTTCGACCGCATACAACCATGACCTCTTAGACTACCGGGACACGACGAGGAAAGGTTGCACCACTGCCGACTGCTTGCACATTCCCGTTGCATTCACATGAGCAACATACGACAGAAACATCATTCAGTGCATTGGTATCAAACTGCAACTTTAGCTCAGCAAAATTAGGCTGGTTTTGATGGATTCATCAAAGCTTACACTGTTCCACTCACCCACATAAAATACGCGAATGACCATAGAGTGACAGTAGACAACTGGATCGCCGCCTATCTACTACATCATTTACGGTCCAGGTGATCGAATTGACTCGGGTTTAATTCAGTGGGAATCGCGGTCTACATTGAGATGGCGCATCGTTTTCCGTTCCCAAAACGAGTGCTTCACAACGACCTTCCAATGCCAGATAACATTTGTTTAAGTCATGATGGACTACGCGATTGGGTGATGTGACTTTCTAATAGTCACACAGGTCCATGTATAAAGCCAGAAGCACATAAACTACGAGAAGACAGATAGGAGACAGGGGGATTTTGATCGAGGCAATCGACGTTCACGATCGAGAGAACAGTTTGCAGTGGCACCCACTGGCTACCTAATTCGGTTGCATTATCATGACTACAATGTAGTCTGAACATCGCCTAGTCGCCATAAGCCTCATTTCTTGCAAGCCAATTGCTGATTTTCTGCTTAAAATCCAAAGTGGTTTGCAAAAAGTGCAAAGTGTTTTGCAAAACGCGGAAAGTGGTTTGCACAAAGTCCAATTTAACGTGAAAAACGCATATATATATATATATATATATATATACTCAATAGGGGATTTTGATGTAATTAATTGAGGTTCTTCGCAAGCATTTTCCAAATCAGATAGTCGTTCACATGCCCGGAAAAGCACTAAACTGCAGTTTCAGCCTGTTGGGCATCGTCAGTAGTGCGCATCGAAGAACCTCAATTAAGTACGCCAAAATCACCTACTCATAAGTACATTAAAATATATCCGCCCTGACAGTTTCTAAATGCCATGTCGTACATAACTACTGTTAGTGGAGGTGATGTCTTTCAGGGCCAACCCTGTCCTCTGCAACATTCGTAACTTGCAAGGCAGTGGAGGATAAGACGCGCTATATCGCAGTTAGCTGGTAACTCATGACGGTCCGAAGCTGTCCCCGTGGCCCAGTGGCATAAGCTGTTGACTGGCGGTTCAAGCCGGATCCTGATGGATCCGATGGATGCGCACTAATGGCGATGCCTAATAGGCTGAAACTGCAGTCTAGTGCTTTTCCTGGGCATGTGAACGACTAGCTGATTTGAAAACCGGCTGCGAAGAACGTAAATTAATATATATATATATATATATATATATATATATATATATATATATATATATCACGGCCAATTGTACAATAAGAATGGTGCCACAAGGTATGGAAAATACAAAAAACTAACGAAAAGAGAAAGAGTAGAAAACAGTGTTTGTGAGAGACGTTTCACAACAGGTTCATCATTGCGCACGGTTTATTATCATATCAGAGAGGGTTTCCAGTCATATGTGTTCGTGATCTTGCGCACCCAGCCAGGGAGTCGACAGCACCCGACCACGGGTAACTTTGTGGTTAGCCCCCTCATGATTCTGGCCGAAGTAATGCGTTTGCCACCTTGCAGTTTGAATTTCCGAATGATGAGCCGAAGTGGAGAACGCTCAGAGCCAATCTATCCCGAAGCGTTCATCCAGAAAAAGTCTGAATAAAGGAGAGCTGGGTTGTCCGCATATTCCACTCCAAAAGACTAAGAGAACAGAGCCATTTATGATTATTTCGAGAAGGCAGTAGAAGAGGAAACGAAAATGGAAATCAATCCCGGTGCACCCTGAACGTCTATGGAAAAACCTAGGAGACGGATCCTGTGTACCTTTATGCGCCCTCGGTAGCCGCTGTTAATAGTAGATGAGAAAGTAGTGCTTCAGAATTACTTACCCACACAAGTGGAATGCTGAAATAGCAGCTTGAGCTACAGATGACGGAAGCTAGCATTCCACGGTTTGCAGCTTGATTTGGAATTTATGGATCGGTAGCAAACAAGTCATGCAACGTGGTTAAATTAAAGTCTACGCACCGAAGTTTCAAAGTTTCTGTGTTGTCGTCCACTCGACCGAGACATCTACCCATGCAGCGTTGAATGCAGACCTGTGAAAGGGAGGCATAAGTGGTGAAAATTAACGTAAAAGCCTGAAGCGCATGCACACGATGCAAAGTGTGTGTGTGTGATACAACTAAGAGACTCCATCAATCCCGCGACCAACAACACTACGCACAAGTGAAGGCTATGTCCGTAACAGTGACCGATGCGAAGATGGCGCGGATACACGACATGTGCATACGAAGCATCGCTGCGTCCTGAAAAATGTTCAGGATGTTGTTGACCCAAAAGGTACCACTTAATCCGAAAGCATAGCGTTTTGTGTGAGAGTCTTCAGATGTTCAAGTTCACCGTAAATTTTGAAGCAGTGTGAAGTGGTGGACATGTATAAACAACGAATACGTTTTCCAGAACGAGAGAAAACGTCAGCAGTACGCAAGTACGCCAAACCGATGCTTCTCTGCCGCAAGATTATCAGCAATCGCGTGCTGGCTGAGGAAATCACGATTTCATCGAGCACACGTAGGGGTCAGAAACTAGACACAAGACCCAATCCACCACCGACTGATGGGAAAATATACCATATGGAAGCCGAAGTAGGATAGGACGAGGAAACGGTGAACCCGCCTGACGTGTCTATATATCTCCCTATATCAAACGATAAGCATTCAGTCAGCGGACATGAATCATGAATGAAAGGTTGGGGAGTTCGATTCGAATAAACATTGCCGTTTCACGCATAACATATATCAGTACAAGGCAAAACCAGTAATCTGATAAAGTGAATGAATGCTGGCCGTAAGTAGGCTGAGGAACGCAGTGCGGAGTTCGATTAACGCACTTAGGCTAATAAGGATGGCCAATTTGAAAGACGCGTAGAATGCAACGAGCACCGCCGAGTAGCGTTGTGACAATTTGTGGCCCAAAGAACCTCTGTGCGGTAACAAAGGCGTCTGGTGAAGGGGTGTGTGTATATACACTTGGCTTATCACATAGTCTACAGCGTATCCAACTTGCACCGTTTGATACTGTTATCTATTAAGTAATAACTAAGTTTCAAACAGTGTAGTCAAGGGGTATAGGTCCGGTTGACTCAAAACAATCCGTCTGAAGCGCAGTGAGTGGAAGCTGAGAAACTTTCTATTCATTTTTCACCTGTGGCCCAGAATGATCCAATGGGATCAGTAGGAACCACCTGATACAGCCGACCTTGAATTGTGATGAGAGGGACTAGAATACACGTACTAACTTGTTGTACTGCTGCTTTGCTGTCCTGTGAGACTGCGGCTGTTTAACTGCTCAGTAACGCACTCAGCCAACCGAAAAAAAAAACATAAAAAGGCCAGAACACGATAGACAGAGAGTATCTCTGCAGGACAGATCAACTCTATTGACTGGTAAACGTAATATGCCAATTTCGGAGGTCAAGGTCATTCACTTTCCTGCGTCTAGTTTGCAGCCAGTGTGGGTGAATACCGCTCCACGGGTTTACCATATTGACGGAATAGTTCGATTTCTTTGACGCAGGCGTGTATTTGCTGACCGATCAATTCGCACTCGATTCCCAAATTCGGCGGAAAAGTCAACGGTCGGACCACGTCTGTGCTGACGACCTCTGCAAGTAGCGGACAGCCTAGGTGCTCCGCTTTCGTTTCTATTACATCCATATTGTTAAAGGCCTACGTCAATCGAACAACTGTAAACAAAGGCTCATTGGGAGGGCTTATTTCTACCAGACCAAATAACAGGTGGCCACAAAGGATGATTGCTGCGACACGTTTTCGGGACACTAGTCGGGCATGTGGCAAATCACAGCGGAAGATGACCCACTCAGTCCGCAATTCACGACACAGGTTGCCGCGCCATCCAGAGCAGTTGGCGGAGCCAACGCACGGGTTGTTATGGTGCAGATGTGATCGTGCCTAAAGCCAGACAGTGAAGGCCGCCACCAGGGTCGAATCTGTTCAGGCAAAGGATGTAAATCATCTCGGTGACAGGAAGAAGCAGTAAAAGAATTTGACCTACAAAATTAACCGTAATCTGTTCCTAATACACTTCAGTCTAGCAGGTTCGGTGTTCTGTTTTCGTCCCCAGCTGGTTCGCAGAGCAGAGAGTAAAGGCGAAGGGCAGCGTTGCAACACCCAATAAGTATTGAATGATTAGTAAATTGCTCTGAAAAGACAAAGCGAATGTTCATTGGAAACGTTTTCGATATCACCAGTTCCCAACACCGAACTCCGCGATTGGCTCTGTTCTTGTCCGGGCTCCAAGGAGGAGAGACAGCTGGAGCTTGGAGGGCAGGCCGGTACGTAATCGCTGACGGCTGACGCAATGGACACTGGGATAATGAACCCAGAGATCAACTCTCCACACAGTACTGCTATCCTGACTTCATTTGACACGGAGTTCGTCTTCAGCACTGTCGGTTGTACCAGCGAATCCTGAGGCCGGGCAACGATCTGTTCGTGGTGTTCCGCACGCCAAACTGATCGTGCATGCGTTGCCCTTTGAATCCTTTTCGCTTCAACACTGCGATCAACATGCTGATCAGTAGCGCTGTCCCTTAAGCCACTTCAGGAATAAAAGTCGTATCAGATGACCAAATGAAAAATCTTTGAAAGCATGCGACGACATAGCTCTCTTACGGTCTGACGCAGTGGCCATGCAAGCAACTGGTTTAATTACCAAGTGTGTTATGCTGTACCGTGGACAAAATAATAACGAACGGATGATCCAGGTATCGGTTTCGAGTAGTGTATGGCGGGACTGGGTCGTTTTCGAAGATCGGTCACGGTTAGAATCAATCAGGCACCACAAGCTCAAAACAGCATTATACACTTGCCTTTCTCTTTCTGTATTCGTCTACCGAGCACCGATTAATACCACCAGACGACAGAAAATGATGTATATCACTGTAGCAAGTAGAGGGTGCACTGACTAGAAGGATGTAGGGTGCGAATCCATGTGCATAATAAGTCTTTCTGATATCGACTGTAGCTGACCGCATGGAAAGTAGTTCAAAAATACCATACACTACTCAGTAAAAATCAGTAACCGCTAAAAGAACGCTTTGCGTTAGCAAGCCAACGCAAGAATGTGCTTTATGCGCTCCAGAGCGAATTTGTCTCTTGGACAGTCTTAACAACCATGTGTGCGGCTAGCGCATTGGCCTAGTCTATTAGTGCATAGAAAAGCAGCAGCAATGATTCAGGGACTTTCGTCCGAAATATTCCACAACACGGGCAGTTCCACTTTAGCAACATCGCGACGATGATTAACGTGCTTCAATAATCCACTGAGCTATGCTGGTTAGTGTTTTTTGCACCTTCAGAGCAACTCATAACAGATTGGTTAAATGTTAGAGGCCTGACAAACGTAGTCGCCTGGCCTTCCAGGATAGGAGTTGGACTGAGGGTGGCCCCTTACTAAATAAAACGGACTGTCTGTAACCCAACGTAAAAGTTACTGTATTAAGGTCAGGCTTTTAAACCAAAGGCCTTGGTTGAGCACCCTAACCGACCAGGCCAGGGCAACCTGAAAGTATCCTGCCCCATGCAGTGCAATAAACCAATCCTCAAACAACTTTTTGAGGCGCTGGTGCTCTATCAGCTTCATCGAGAAGGGTGGATAGGAGTGAGGATGTTAACGTTCTGCCCGTCTTCTTAATCCCACTTTTGCGGTTTTTTAATATCTTTATCGCCTTTGTCTAAGCTCACTTTTGTCCACTTTTGTCAACCTCCAATTCTCGGCCCTCACACATCTTGCTTCAATAGTCGCTTGTCTGCTAGTTTCCACTCACACGCAATCGCAGAGCGTAGCTCCAGTCCAGTCGACAGAGTCATGTTCAACCAGGCCTATAACGTCAGTTCATCCGTTTTACTCTAAAGCCTTTGATCTTCATTAGGACTGGTATCTCTCAAAGTGCGCAGTTTGATAGAGATTAGCCAAAAGAAAAATCTTGTTCGAACACCGCTGCTTATCGGAAACCCCACAAAAAGATTCGAGCTTTGTGCTTACCCTGCGATCGCTTACATGCGACACTGGTGGCAGCTTCTCATTGAGCCTGTCCGGAGATGACGCAGCTCCAAATACAGGTCAAGCTGACTTGAGTATTGCCCTGAGCACCCCGGCTGAAGCTGTTCTGATCGACTAGCTCCCAGTCAAAAGCCGGATGTGCGCCGGCCAATTGGCCGGCTCATTTAATGATTCGAAGTTGCAAGGGTACCTGTTTGTCACTGCTACCTGTGCCCCCACAAACTGTACTGCTGTACTGCTGACTTCCATCATCAACTGAACAAGCTCCTTCATTACAGAACGGATACTGTGTTGCTTGCTGGTGATCTGAAAGTCCAAGTCGGAAAACTGTCCACTGATCACCTGCATGTAGGCGGCCAAGATAGTTTAGGCTCTCTTATGGATAGTGATTAACTGTTACACTTGTGTGAAGATGCACATCCCATACTCGCAAGTGCTAACTACCGACACATCATAGGTCGAAGGGCGACAAGGGACCACTGGCCTCGGCCCAGCCATGGACGCAAATCGATCACATAGAGATAAGTAACTGCATAACAGGTTATGTACAAAAGTGTCGCTCAAGTTGAAGCTCCAGCGTGGACTCCGCCCACATTCTTGCATATAATGACCACCGAGTGTGTTTCGGCAGACGTCGACAACGACGCTGTGAGCGCATAGAAACCAAACAAATAACGGGCCAGATGTTTTAAAAGCGTATGAAAGTAAGCCGGCGTCCGGGCTGAGTAAACACCCCTCGAACACAGTTGAAGATTACTGGTTGCACTGTTTGCAGAGGTAACTTTTAGCAGACATGTCTTCATGCAGCAAATCATATTGCCAACCTTGATATTGGGTCTTTAAGCACTCTCTAGAAAACTTAGACGCTTGCTGACACATTCCGGTTGGAATGGAACATAACGAGATTCGCAAAGACCAGAGGGTAAAACTGTGTACTAACCTGAAGAAAGATCGCGAAACCTGTTAGTCTCATAGTGCCTGATTGCGTGCCATGGAAAGCTTCGCTAAAACC